TACTATTATTGACACGGCTATAATGCCTTCGTTTATATTTGTTGAGTGTGTAACAAGATTGAATCTGGAAGTATCTACTATGATGGTATCATGGTCATTGATACCCCAACTAATGGTTCAGTGACCACTTCATTGGTGTGCGTGAATTCTCCTTTGACAATTTACGGTGGAAATTTTGGGATTGACTTAGTCTATTTTCATCTAAGTCAACTCGATGTTATTTTGGGGATGAATTGGTTGGAGTTTAACCATGTGCATATTAATTTATTTGATAAATCAATGAAGTTTCTTGAATTTGAGGAGAGTACAGAGTCGAGTTTCATGACCACAAGATAGGTAGGGATGTCATTGATAGAGGGAGCTCAAGTGTTCATGGTGTTCGCGTCCTTGAGATGGGGGATCGAAAGAATGATTGTTGATCTACCTTTTATGTGTGAGTTTCCTTAAGTGTTCCCATATGACATTAGTAATTTGTTTCTAGATCGTGAAGTTGATTTTGATATAGACTTAGTACCCGGTACTAGTCTTGTGTCAATGGCACCATACAAAATGTCTGTATCAAAGCTGAGTGAGTTGAAGAAACAATTAGGGGATCTACTTGAGAAGAAGTTTGTTCGACCAAGTGTTTAGTCGTAGGGGGCGCCGGTGTTTCTAGTTAAGAAGAAAGAAGGTAACATGAGGTTGTATGTTGATTATCGACAACTAAATAAAGTGACTATAAAAAACAAGTATCCTATTCCAAGAATTGACAGTTTGATGGATCAGTTGGTTGGCGCTTGTGTATTCAGTAAGATTGATTTGCTGTCGAGTTATCATCATATTCTAATGAAACCATAAGATATTCTAAAGACTGCATTCAGAATGAGATATGGTCATTATGAGTATTTTACGATGCCATTTAGTATGTCTAATGTGCCAGGTGCGTTTATGGAATATATGTATAGGATTTTCCATCCTTATCTAGAACAATTTGTGGTGGTGTTCATCAACGATATTTTGATATATTCTAAGTCTGATGAAGAGCACGTAGAGCATCTGAAAGTTGTATTGCAGACCTTAAAAGAAAATAAGTTGTATGAGAAGTTATCTAAGTGTGAGTTATGGTTGAAAAAAGTGAGTTTCCTTGGTCATGTGATATCTAGTGGTGGTATCAAATTGGATCTATGAAAGATACATACAATTTTACAGTGCGAGACTCTAAAGTGTGTTATAGAGATTAGAAGTTTTCTGGATTTTGCTGGTTATTACAGAAAATTCATTGAAGGATTTTCAAAGTTAGCATTTCCTTTGACCCAGTTGACTTGAAAAGGCAAGCTTATGTGTGTAGTGTTCAATGTGAAAAGAATTTTCAAGAACTCAAGAAGAAGCTGACATCAGCTCGAGTTTTGATTTTGTTAAGTCCGTGTGAATCGTTTGTTGTGTATTATGATACTTCGAAGATGTGTCTAGGTGGTCTGTTGATGCAAAATGGTCAGGTTATGGCTTATGCTTCTAGACAGTTGAAAGTTCATAAGTGGAATTATCCTACACATGATCTGGAATTAGCACCGGTGGTGTTTGCGTTAAAAATTTGGAGGCATTATCTGTTTGATTCCAAATTTGAAGTGTTCAGTGACCACAAGAGTTTGAAGTACGTGTTTGATCAGAAAGAGTTGAATATGAGGCAGAGTAGTTGACTCAAATTTTTGAAGGATTATGATTTTGGTTTGAGTTGTCATCCTGGTAAAGCTAATGTCGTAGTTGAGATGCTTTGAGCAGGAAGTCATTGCATATGTCGATGTTTATAGTTCGAGAATCAGAGTTAATCGAGCAATTCAGAGGTCTGAGTGTGTTGTGTCAAAGAACTTCTAACGGTGTGAAGTTGGGTATGTTGAAGCTGACTAATTGCATTCTCAAAGAAATTAGATAAGGTCAAAAAAAAATTTGGGATTGATTGATCGGTTATTGTTAATTAAACAAGTTAAAGGAGGTGATTTTAGAATAGATGAGAATGGTGTTATGCGTTTCCGTGACAGATTTTGTGTACCTGATGTTCCAGAACATAAGAGGAGTATTCTTGAAGAAGGTCACAGAAGTAGTATGAGTATTCATCATGATGCTACTAAAATGTATCATTACTTGAAGAAAATATTTTGGTGGCTAGGAATGAAGAGAGATATAGTCGAGTTTGTTTATATGTGTTTGACTTGCTAAAAGTTAAAGATTGAACATTAGAAATTGTTGGGTTTGATACAACCATTGGATATTCCTGAATGGAAGTTGTATGGTATTTCAATGGATTTTGTGATAAGTTAGCCTAAGACTTCTAAAAGGAATGATTCAGTTTGGATTGTAGTGGATAGATTGACTAAATTGGCTTATTTCATTCCGATTAAGACTAGTTATTCATTATAGAAGTTGGATGAAGTGTAAATTGAGAAGGTTGTTAGCTTGCATGGTATTCATAAGTATTGTTTCTGATAGAGATTTGAGATTCACGTCAAGGTTCTAGGGGAGCTTTGCAGGAAGCCATGGGTACTAAGCTGAAGTTGAATTCTACTTATCATCCGTAGAATGACAGTCAAACAGAGAGGACTATCCATTCTTTGGAGGATTTGTTGAGAGCTTGTGTTTTGGAGCAGGGAGGTAACTGGGATAGTTACTTATTGTTGTTTGAGTTCACTTACAACAACAGTTTCCATTCTAGTATTAGAAAGACATTGTTTGAGGCTTTGTTAGGTAGAAGGTGTAGGACACCTTTATGTTGGTATGATTTTGGTGAAAGTGTTGTGCTTTGACCTGAGATTGTTCAACAGGCTATCAAGAAGATCAAGATGATACAAGAGAAGATGAAAGCTTCACAGAGTTGCCAGAAGAGTTATCATGATAAGAGGAGGAAAACACTTCAGTTCCAAGAGGGAGATTGTGTGTTCCTGCGAGTCACTCCGACGATAAGTGTTGGTCGTGCTTTAAAATCTCGAAAGCTCATGCCGCGTTGCAAGCTTATGTGTGTAGTGTTCACTGTGAGAGAGTTTTCAAGAACTCAAGAAGAAGTTGACATCAGCTCCAATTTTGATTTTTCGAATTTCAAGTGAATCCTTTGTTGTGTATTGTGATGCTTCGAAGATGGTTCTAGGTGGTGTCTTGATGCAGAATGGATAGGTTGTGGCTTATGCTTCTGGACATTTGAAAGTTCATGAGAATGAATCTGTTTTTATTATAAATCTCTTTAGACAAAAATTGTATCAAATTATAAATCATTTTATAATATCAATAAATCATTAATATTAGTTTTTCTATTATATTTTAAATTTATTTTTCTTATACTATTAATGAATGACAATTTTATTTAAAAAAATGATTACATTTTTTAATACATATAAAAATGTCAAAACAATTTATAATAAAAAAATTGAAGAGTTGTTTTTTATAGGCATAATTAGTCTCTAAGTCTCTTAACTTTAAGCGAAGTTTCGTTTTGGTCTCCTAACTAAAAGAAACGTTACATAATGGTCCCTTAATTTCTCTTTCATTAAACTATGTGATCTCTTCCGTTAGTTTGGGTGAAAAACATTAACTATAGCTGAGGTGGCATGTCAGGTATGCAAATAGTACAATGAACACTCATTGTTGTTCATCTTCCTTCTTTGTTTTTCACTATTCATCCACCTTCCATTAGCTTGTAGCTTCCTATTCTTTCATCTTCCATCGTATTCCTTTTTCTTCTCTAAATTAAATTTAAATCACCATCTTCCATCAGTGCAAGAAGTGCTCCAAATTAGTATCATTTAACTTCAACTCGGCTCCGTTTTATTTTAGCTTAATGTTGTCCTATATTGCTTTGTTTTGGAGCAGAGAAAGAAACCAGCAACAGACAACACAACAAAATTTTCCTCAACATTTAACATTGTTCAGAAGTGTGTACTATGAAATGATTTTCCACAAAAAAATTCTCACACCTAAGCTAATTAATCAAATTTCAATTTAGTGTTATTGTTGTTTATAATTTACAGTATAAATTTTCCACTTCTAACTACAAACAAATTCATTTTTGACTGAATCTCTCAAACAATTTCTCAGCAAAATGGCAGATCAGATTCCGACGCATCACATATTTGCGACGAACCTCTTCTCTGATCCATTACACTCCCACCCTCTATGGCATTCTGAGGTTTAGATTTCTCTAAGCGTGGTTTTTACTGCAGAGGTGGTCGGAGGTAAAACCGCGCTGGTTTATATGTGAGGGTGTATGGTGGTTAAAACTGAAGTGGAAGGAGGATTTCGTATGTGGAATGGTGGTGGTCGGAATGCCACCGGCGGTGAGGCTAGTGTGTTCATTCAAGGTCGTGTAATGGAGGTTATGGTGTAGCATTGTAAGGTGATAAAGTGGTACGGTGGGATTTGTTGTAGGGGTTAGTTTATTATAGAGTTGAAGATAATTTTTGTGGAAAGAAGAAGTAATGTTGGTAATGTGTTAGATGAAGTTTTTTAGTGGATCAGTGGTGTTTAGTAGTTACAACAGGTGAGTGGAAGAAGAAAGATAGAAATGAAATTAGTTGAGGTGAGGGATGTGTTGTTGAGCACTTGTCAGGAAGTAGATAGAAGAAGACATTGGTTTTGATGAGAGAGGGTAGAGTAACACCTGAATAAGAGGGAAGAGAGTCAGCTCCCCTCTTACAACAATATTAAAATAAATAAATTTCACATCAGATATAAATAGTCCAGCACGATATCTTTAACGTTTTTTCAATAAAAACTAACTGAAAAAAGCCAATAGTTTAACGGAAGTGAAATTAAGGAACCACTATATAACATTTTTTTAGTTAAAAGAGTAAAACGAAACTTCTTATAAAATTAAAGGACTAAATGATGTATTAAACTTTTTTTTTTAATAATAAAAACAATATTATTTATAATACACACTAATTTTTCTTCTATAAATACCCACCAAGATTACTTGACTTTCTCACAACCTTCCTATCCACTTTAACAACTGTGTTTTGCCTGACTAAAAACCAAAAATGTCCTTCCTATTTGGAGGTGATAAAATCAAAGGCACATTAGTGCTTATGCAAAAGAATGTCTTGGACATAAACAGCTTAACAGATCCTGCAAAGCTTCTCGATGGAGCCTTGGATGGTTTTGGATCCATACTTGATACTCTCACTTCCTTCTTGGGTGGATCCGTTTGTCTTCAGTTAATTAGTGCTACTAAACCTCTGTGTAAGTTTTCTTCTTTTACAAATTTATTTTCTTTCAAATGCGGCACAGTTTGTTGTCCGTTTACCTTTCTATCTGGATAAACTTTTAACCTTAAATATTTTGCAGTAAGTGGAGAAGGAAAAGTGGGAAAAGAAGCTTATTTAAAAGCAGCAATTAACAATTTACCAACCTTGGGAGACAAGCAAACTGCATTCAGCATTGAGTTTGAATATGATAGCAACTTTGGAATTCCTGGAGCATTCAAAATCAAAAACTACATGTCAGCTGAGTTCTATCTTGTGAGCTTAACTCTTGATGATATTCCCAATCTTGGAACCATTCACTTTGTTTGCAACTCGTGGATTTACAACGCCAAAAAATACCAAACTGATCGCATTTTCTTCGCCAATAACGTAAGAACAAACTATATATCTATCAGATAGTATTGCAATTTGATTTTCTTTATATTTTTGAAAAACTAATTTGAAAACATATATCGCAGACTTATGTCACAAGTGAAACACCGCCTCCATTAGTCTTCTATAGACAATTAGAGTTGAAGACTTTACGAGGAAATGGAACGGGAGAGCGTCAAGAATGGGATAGAATTTATGATTACAATGTTTACAATGATTTGGGTGAGCCTGATAAGGGTCCAAGTTATGCTCGTCCAATTTTGGGACGATCTAGTGATCATCCTTATCCTCGTAGAGGAAGAACGGGGAGAAAACCTACTGCAACAGGTTATGTTCTTGTCTTCATGTCTTGTCGACTAATTACGAAAGTTACATAATCTTTTGACAATATATAACGATACTTTTTTATATTCAATTATCTTAACAGATCCGAACAGTGAGAGTAGGGGGAATAGTGTGTATATTCCAAGAGATGAAGCGTTTGGTCACTTGAAATCCTCAGACTTTCTTGTTTATGGACTTAAGTCTGTTTCTCAAGATGTAATTCCATTGCTACAATCTGCATTTGACATAAATTTCACACCAACTGAATTTGATAGCTTTGATGATGTGTTTGATCTATATGAAGGAGGAATTAAGCTACCTACCGATATAATTAGCCAAATTAGTCCTTTACCAGTGTTATCAGAAATCTTTCGAACCGATGGTGAAGAGTTTCTCAAGTTTCCACCACCTAAAGTAATTCAAGGTAATATATATCCTACCTTTAGCAAAATTGCGAGTAAAATCAATAACTTTATTTCCTTGGACGAAAAACTTATTGACGATTCGATATTATTTTGAGTAGTGAGTAAGTCTGCGTGGATGACTGATGAAGAATTTGGAAGAGAGATTGTTGCTGGTGTAAATCCCGGCCTAATTCGGTCCCTCCAGGATTTTCCTCCAAAAAGTAAGCTTGATAGTGCAATCTATGGTGATCATACTAGCACCATAACCAAAGAGCAGATAGAGCTTAACTTGGAGGGTCTCAGTACTCTTGATGAGGTAAAGATAACTATTATGCGATCCATTGTTTTTGTTTCTTTATAGCCGAAATTGACCGATTTTTTTATCAGGCTATACAAAACAAGAAACTGTTCTTGCTAGAACACCATGACACAATAATTCCATATCTAAGGCTAATAAACTCAACTTCAACCAAAGCTTATGCTTCAAGAACCATTCTTTTCTTGAAAAATGATGGAACTTTAAAGCCTTTAGCCATTGAGTTAAGCCTTCCACATCCTCAAGGAGATCAATTTGGTGTTGTTAGCAGTGTCTACTTGCCTGCAATTGAAGGTGTTGAAGCTACAATTTGGCTACTTGCCAAAGCTTATGTTATAGTAAATGACTCATGCTTTCACCAACTTGTCAGCCACTGGTATATATATACAATTTGTCAATGAAATGTAATTTTGTGTATATGAATTGTTTATGAATAACTTTTCATGCATTATACAGGTTGAATACTCATGCAGTTGTCGAACCTTTTGTGATAGCGACGAATAGGCAACTTAGTGTGCTTCATCCTATTTATAAGCTATTACATCCGCATTATCGCGATACAATGAATATTAATGCACTTGCTAGACAATCCTTAGTCAATGCAGATGGTATTATTGAAAAGACATTCTTGTGGGGAGGGTATGCTATGGAGATATCATCAAAAGTTTATAAGGATTGGGTTTTTACAGATCAAGCTCTACCCGCCGATCTCATCAAAAGGTAATTAAAGTCAAACGATCACCATTATATCAGGACTAAAAATATATTTAACCATTGTAATTCTCATACTCTTGTTTATTTAGAGGAATAGCGGTTGAGGACTCAACTTCGCCCCATGGTCTTCGTCTAGTGATAGAGGATTACCCGTATGCTGTTGATGGGCTCGATATTTGGGATGCTATTAAGACATGGGTGCAAGACTATGTCTCTATATACTTCACATCTGATGAGAAAATTCAGCAAGACTCTGAACTCCAAGCTTGGTGGAAAGAAGTTGTTGAAGTAGGTCACGGTGACAAGAAAGGCGAGGTGTGGTGGCCTAAATTGCAAACTCGCGAAGAGTTGATTCATGTCTGTAATATTATCATATGGACTGCTTCAGCTCTTCACGCAGCTGTTAATTTTGGACAATATCCGTATGGAGGTTTCATATTAAACCGTCCAACTCTCAGTAGGCGATTAATGCCAGAGAAAGGTACTTAGTGTTTTGTTTTACTCTCTAAAATTTGTTCGTATTGAAATTGGTATTTGAGACTAAAATCAAATATTTTACATATTACAGGTACTACTGAGTATGATGAGCTAGCGACTAACCCTCAGAAGGCATACTTGAAAACAATTACACCAAAGTTTCAAACTCTTATCGATCTATCAGTCATAGAAATCTTGTCAAGGCATGCTTCTGATGAGTACTACCTTGGACAGAGAGACAGTGCTGAGTATTGGACTTCTGATACAAATGCCTTAGCAGCTTTCAAGAAGTTTGGAACAACACTAGCTGAAATAGAGGGACAACTCATTCTGAGGAACAGCAATGGGTCATTGAGGAACCGAGTTGGGCCGGTTAGCATGCCTTATACTCTTCTCTATCCTTCAAGTGAGGAAGGACTTACTTTTAGAGGAATTCCCAACAGTATCTCGATCTAAGAAAGTGTTGCTATATATTGTGAATGATTGTGGGTGTGGTTTTAAATAAATTGTGTGAGGGAATTTCAATTCTTTATCACACCATTTGTGTATAGTTGTGTGTTTGTTTGCTTGCATGTTCATATGACAATAATGTAAGCAATGATGTTTTTATGTAAGTGTTGTATTCTATCTTGTAAAATATTGTAATTTATGTCCCATTATTGGTCTATGAGTACAGATTTTGGATTTAAGTTTCTATCCGGAAGTTTTAAAATTTTTTAACAAAGAAAGTAAAAAAAGTTAAATTTTTGGTGATAACAACTCATCTCTCAACTTTTGTTGTTGTCTTTAATGCGTAATTATTGGTCAACAACCAAAATAAATCATGTCTTTCTCACATATATGTGAAAATTCTAAAATTATCTTCAAAATCAGGATTTTAATTTTCATACGCGCCAAATACACAACAAACTCTCTTTAAAGCAAGTGAAATCAAATGTAAGAAATAGTTATGCTATATTAGGTTACATATAAAGTTGGTATACTAGTTTGTCCTAATTAGATTTGGTAGGAACTTTGAACATTTGAGACATCTGATTCGTAATGCTATATTTATGTTTATGATATAATATTACGAATTTGTTCTAAGAATTCCAGATTTTGAAACCCTGACCCTTAGTCTCGATAGCAAAATTAGAATTTCTCTGTTTTGTGGATTGTTTTGAATTTTGGTTTGCTGATACATTATTTTCGTTTCGTTGATTATGATATGCATTTTTTTATTATTTTTGCTTAGACTAATCCAACATGTCTCAGTGCATAGGAAAAAAATTCACTATGCTAAAAAAGACCTTTAACAACGTTTTTTTTGGCCTTTAGCCGCGTTTAAAAACACTGCCTAAAGTGGCGCTACTAAAGATAAAGGCAGCGTTTTTTTTTATGGAAAAAGCGCTGCTATAGACTCACTTTTAACAGCGCGCGCTCTTCATATATATATATATATATATATATATATATATATATATATATATATATATATATATATATATATATATATATATATATATATATATATATATATATATATATATATATATATATATATATATATATATATATATATATATATATATATATATATATATTATATATATATATATATATATATATATATATATATATTATATATATATATATATATATATATATATATATATATATATATATATATATATATATATATATATATATATATATATATATATATATATATATATATTATATATATATATATCATATATATATATATATATATATATATATATATATATATATATATATATATATATATATATATATATATATATATTTTATATATATATATATTATATATATATATATATATATAAATATATTATATATATATATATATATATATATATATATATATATATATATATATATATATATATATATAATATATATATATATATATATATTATATAATATATATATATATATATATATATATATATATATATATATATATATAATATATATATATATATATATATATATATATATATATATATATATATATATATATATATATATATATATATATATATATATATAATATATATATATATATATATATATATATATATATAATATATATATATATATATATATATATATATATATATATATATATATATATATATATATATATATATATATATATATATATATATATATATATATATATATATATATATATACCATAATTATTGTAATTCACATAAACCAACTTATAATTCAACACAAGCTGATCCTCAGAACAACTTCACAAATACAGTCATTATACATATAATTACAAAACCGATAACTTTACAAATACATTCACTACACATATAGCGACAAAACTACACACGACTTCCAGAAATATAATTATCCCGCATCAATATTTGACGATACATATATCTTATACAATTCTCAACTCAAGAATGTATTGATACCATTCCTCCTTAATTTCTTTCAATCTGTCTTTCGAGTAAGTACGACACTTGAATTCATCAAAGTACTACATAATATAACATAACATGCACGATTTAGTTTTAAAACTAATTACTTAGATGAAATATCGGTTAATTATTAAAATAAATCATATAACTTATAAATTGATCCATACCATGATTGGAATCTCTATTTGACCCGAATGAATAATTTCCTTCATAAAGCGCAATAAAAAATATCTGCAATCAATCTCATTACGCTGACGAGGACACTGTAAATGGAAAAACAAACGAATATTTATCAGGATATATAGTTAAATTAGTTTTATCAAGTAGAATCACTATAACAGTCAAAATTGTGAAAAATATATTTGCACTCTGATCCAGCTAATGTTGTTAGTCTTCCTTTTTGGCATTGTTGCTGCTCTTTGTGATCGGAATATTTGTATAGCTCTAACATAATATAAACGAATATTTAGAACAATCTCACATAATAAATAAAGATAATTATTCATAACAGTATATCTCATCACTTACGTATCAACCATATTCTTCATATCAGGATATTTTGTTTGATCACCATCCAATGAATCCAGATAATACACTATTTCTTTCATCGGATTAATCGCAATCAACAACCAGTGTCCACTGTAAAATAAGACAAAAGCTTAGATGGAAATGTTATATAGAATGACAAAAAATGAATAATTATAATAAATGAATTTATAATGAAATCTAACCCATGGTCAGTATTATATGGCAAAAAGTACAACTTCTCTGTATTTGTGGCCATAAATGTTTGGATTATGTAATCTCTGACTGCATCTGGTGTGTGATCGATTGACTGTGAGTTGATACAGCTAGCAGATAAGAATGTGAATCTTGAAGTCAATTGATGCGGTACCAACAACTTGTCATACAAGAACCTTAAATAAAAACATAATAAACATTAGAATATTCATTTAAATGAGCAAATAAATTGTTCAATTGTTTAATTAAAATTGATCGGAGTACCTGATGTAGGAATGCATAACACCAATGCCCAATTTAGAATGTTGGAAAATCTGGTCCAAATCCTCCTTAACAATTGTTTCGGCATATTCAAAACCGAAAATATCTTCCTCCATAGGTATTTGACGGATGTCACCCTCAGCCACATCTGTTGTTCCTACATATGTTTCAAGGCAAAACCTAAATCGAGAAACATATGCTTTTTTTGCCTCGGCTTTTTTGTTGTTGGCCACCTTGCTAGATTCAGGCATCTTACCCTTGCTGACTTGTTGCAACTGTTGATCATGAACCTAAAAGTCATATAAGTTTAGTAATTAATGTATAATAAGATAATCATGTAACTGTAGTAGTACCAGATTTTTTGATGCAGCAGAATCGGTTTCCCGCACAATAATTTCCTTATCTTTTGATTTGGATTTTGTAGGAGTCTAAGATCATCATGTAAATAAGTAAATGTAAATGTAAGAATAACTTTTGTGTATGGGTCGTAAAACATTTGAATACTACAAGGTTCATAATGGTGTTCAACCTACCTCATCATCTATGAAAATGAGATTTGACGACCATGCAACATACGATCCTATTATGTTTCCCACCATTGTTGCGTTTGAAACATCATCTGGTATAGGCAACAAAGCACCCCCCCTCTAACGCAGTATCAACCGATGCTTTCAAAAATCCAGCAGGGAGCGGTTTATGGTAAAGTAAGTCTCCTAAAGTGTTATGCATTTTCCCTTGCCAACCATGCGATAAGTCGATGATGATAAATATAGCCGACAAGGTGAAATGCCCTAAACAAATAATGAATATGATTAATGTGTCATTTAAGAAAATTGTGCTAAATTAATTTCAATGTAATATATACAATTACCTCTGGAAGCTTCTGCGGACAATTGATACTATCTTTGTCACTAGTATCTTTACACTCTGGACCGCGCCTTTTTGACATGTATCTCTCTTTGTCCTTTTGTAATTCACGAATCTGAGCTTTCAATTCCTCCAACGTCTCCATCACTTATTTATTGCTAGGATTTTTATTCTTTGGCTGCTTATACAATTTTGTTAGAGTGACACCAAATCCCTTACCCCTCACACGCCCAGAATACTCAGGAATATTTAACACTCAACTCAGTACGCTCCTGCAATCATCGTCCTCAGCCGCAGTTATAGTCTAGGATAGAGTCTCCTGAAATATAGATAAAAGCATATATAAATATATTATACACTTTTGAGTTTATGACAGAACTAATGTTGTACTTACACATTGTTCAAATACTTGTTGAACTTCTTCCTGAACGACTTCATCTCTTCCCACACGGGCAGCCTTCCACAAAACATGGTCTAAAAGAGATGTTGCATCACTTCTCTCCTCTTCTAACTACACATTAAGACAGGTAATAGAGCATTCATATCCCATTATATATACTTATTATTTTATGTTACTATATCATATTAAATCATTTATATATACTTACTATTTTTTGTTGTAAGCGTGCATATCCCAAACGCCCTTTTTTGTATGGATACGCGGGTTTTGATACCCGTTGCCGATTTACGTCACTCACAACTTGAAAAAACAAGTTTAAGTCATATCAGAACTCTTGTGGAAGAAGTATATATATTATACATCGTTCATGATAAGTTATACTTACATGGAAATCTTTGGTTCTTCGCTTGGCAACAAATCTTTCTCATTCTTCATCTGAAATCAGATCAGCATACTTCTTTGGACGCTCTGATTTGACAAAGTTTCCATCAGAATCTTTAAGAAACTTGTACGTTAAAAATGCTCTAAATCCTCTTAGTCGTTTTCCGGCCAATTGAAGACAACATTTTCTCCTGCAATCATCAATATTAAAAGATCTCTGCAAACAAATAAACATACGTATAATATGTTAGTATAATTAATTTAAAGACATAACCGTTGACATAATTAAAAAATATCAATATCATACATGTATCTCGCTCCAAATTTTGTCTTTAGCCGGTTGT